CTACTTTTATTATGTTTGTGTCTCCTTCCAAAGAGTATCTACATGAGGCACTTACAGATAGCCATATATTAATTTATTTTGTCCAAATGATAGTCTTATATTTGAGGGGAGTGAAGGGACTACAGTTTCTTTCCATTTCTTTTCTGATTCTAGAAGTAACACATATCCACTGTTAAGAATTTGGAAAGGATAAAGACTATTGTTCATCATACTAAATATAAATGCCATAGTAAAAATAAAAGATATTACTCATTATACCACATACAAAAGGTCACCATCAACATTTCAATAAATTTCCTTCCAGTTGCTCTATGCCAAACAGAATTTGGATCATACTGTACCTGTAGCTTTGCATAGTGCTTCTCCCACATGTTATGAACATGGAATATAAAGATCCTGTCTGCCCATAAGTCAAGCTTTTTAGCCAAGCTCTCTGTTCATCTCAGCCATGGCCCCAGGGTCTGCACATTTAGTGCCCAGGTCCTTTCATACAAGCAGAAGCCTGAGCCCCAACTTAGGAGGACTGGCCTTTGGATCTGAACATGGGATAGAGATCATGAATCCAGAACAGTAGCTAGCATCTTATTCACCACTATTCTCCAATGTGCTTAAAAATGTTTTTTTTTTTTTTTTTTTTTTTTTTTTTTTTTATTTCAGAGAGGAAGGGAGAGGGAAAGAGAGATAGAAACAATGATGAGAGAGAATCATTGATCGGTTGCCTCCTTCATGTCCCCTACTGGTGATCAAGCCCACAACCCAAGCATGTGCCCTTGACTAGAATCGAACCTGGGATCCTTCAGTCTGCAGGCCAATGTTCTATCCACTGAGCAAAACCAACCAGGGCTCCAATGTGCTTTTTAAAACCTAACACATTGAACAATTAATTTATACATCCAATATTTGCAGAGTGCCTACTGTGTGCCTTGCATTGTAGAGGTACCTTAGGAGATAAAACAGACAAAATGTCCTGTCCTCAGAGGAAGGCAGAAAATGAACAAATAAATCAATATCTAATAAATAAAAGAATTAATAAATAAGTTCTAAGAAGGAAAATAAATCAGATGAAAGGATAGAGATATTTGAGAGTATTTTTCCTATTCTAATTTTTATTATGAAAATTTCAAATGTATATAAAAGCAACCAGGATGGTATAATGAGCTCTTATCCAGCTTCCACAGGTTTTAAGGTTTTGTCTCACTTCAGACACAGGCATTTTCATGTTTTCTTGCATCTCTGCAATGCAGTTGTTATATGGAATGAAACTGTATTTTGTTTTTTTTTATTTTATTGATTTAAAAAATATATTTTATTGATTTTATACAGAGAGGAAGAGAGAGGGATGGAGAGTTAGAAACATCGATGAGAGAGAATCATCGATCAGCTGCCTCTTGCACACCCTCTACTGGGATGTGCCTGCAACCAAGGTACATGCCCTTGACCGGAATCGAACCCAGGACCCTTCAGTCCACAGGCCGACACTCTAACCACTGAGCAAAACCGGTTTTGGCTGGAACTGTATATTGGATTGGTATTTTGGGTAGGAGGGTCCAGCAAGGACTCTTTAAAGAGATGACGTTAGCCATGGCTGGTGCAAGAGGCAGCCGATCAATGATTCTCTCTCATCATTGATGTTTCTATATCTCTCCCCCTCTCCCTTCTTCTCTGAAATCAGTTAAACATAAAAAAATAAAATAAAAAGAGATGATATTAGTTTATTTATTGAGCACCCGCTGCATGCCAGGCAGTGTTCTAGGACTGAGGCTCCCTGAGTGAAGGACATTTAAGCATCAATTAAAGGAAGTGAAGAAATAAGCTGCAGCAGAAATTTGTGTGAATGGCAAGCCAGGCAGAGACAACAGCACGTGCAAAGGCGCTGAGGTAGGACTGTCCGAGGAACAGTGAGGGCGCTAGTATGGCGGGAGTAGAGTGGAAATGGAGAGGGAGTTGAGATTAGCCAAATCCAGTGGTGCCTTGTGGTTCATAGTGAGGGCGTCTGGCATCCGTCCTTAGCGAAGAAGGCCATGTTCAGAGCAGAAGAGCAACGTGACAGTCTGTCTCCAGCATTTGGCCCCAGAAGACAGGGGTTTCTGTCTGTTTTGTTTGCCCTGAATCCCTGTAGATCCCAAGCAGCTCACACTAATTCAGTAAGCAGTAGTTGCACAGGTAGAATGGACCAGTGGACATGGAGCTGCGCCGTTTTATGTTCCAGTGCATGGATGTGCCATGATTTATTAGCTGTCCCCTGTGGATTGGCTTCTTACAGGCTTGTTTTGAGCAGTGCATGAGACACTGCTTATTATGTTGCTCTTAGCACAGTGCTTGGTCAGAGGAAGTGCTTTATCAGTGTTGGCGATTATCAGTATTATAACTGTTGGCTATTGTTATCACAGTGGGTGCAAGACAGACCGAGATGGAGATGGTGCTGGGCAGAGTGAAACACACACACACACACACACACACACACATACACGGAGGGGCATGGCTAGCCTTTGCAGGCCCCTCTGTTGACCTGACTTGGATTCTTCATCCTGTGTCCCTGCCCGCAGTTCCACGGAGAAAAATTGCTGCGTGCGGCAGCTCTACATAGACTTCCGCAAGGATCTGGGCTGGAAATGGATCCACGAGCCCAAGGGCTACCACGCCAACTTCTGCCTGGGGCCCTGCCCGTACATTTGGAGCCTGGACACGCAGTACAGCAAGGTGCCTCGGGCCCTGGGCTGGCGATAGCAGGGACTGGGGGAGGGAGGGAAGGGAGAGGAGGGAGGGTTTCACTCAGAGGTGAAGTGGGGAAAGGAGAAACAGATAGACAGACTGGAGGAGAGGGTGATAAAGAGATGGGAAAGAAGCTAGAGGCCGGGTGGGCACAGCTAAAGACAAGGCATATGGGGAGACCCACCCGGCAGAGTATCTTGGAAGGAGAAAGAGAGACGGAGCGATGAGACAGAATGAAAAAGGCAGGAAGGCGCGGGGTGATACACAGAGACAAGGAGGTGGAAGGAGAAAGAATGATTGAGATACAAATCAAGAGAGGGACACGTGGAGAGGCGGATATCGACCTGCCGGGTGAGCAGAGGTGGAGGGAGGTGGGAGCAGTCTGACCCCTGCGCTGACCCGCCCGCCCGCCCGCCCTCCCGCAGGTCCTGGCCCTGTACAACCAGCACAACCCCGGCGCGTCGGCGGCGCCGTGCTGCGTGCCGCAGGCGCTGGAGCCCCTGCCCATCGTGTACTACGTGGGCCGCAAGCCCAAGGTGGAGCAGCTGTCCAACATGATCGTGCGCTCCTGCAAGTGCAGCTGAGCCCCCGCCCCGCCCGGCCGCCTCCCCGCCTCCCCGAGCCCCGCCGGCTGTATGTATTTAAGGACACCGCCTCCCCGCCCCTCCCGGCCAAGCCCACCTCGGGGGGGCCCCCCATTAAAGGTGGAGAGAGGACTGGGGTCTCAGTGTCTTGGCCTGACCGGGTCTCTCTACCGATGTTCCTGGGCTCCCGCTCCACCTGCCGCTCCAAATCTTCCCTTTTCATTTGCCCTCCTCACCATTTACCAAGCCCTTACGTTCCGTTCCGTGTACTCCTGGTAAGCACTAGACTTATTTATTGAGCACTTTGGGCCTTGTTCTAAGTGCATATGTTAATCAACTCACGCAGTCACCACAACCAAGCTCCGAGATACTGGGGATTCTAATAACGCCCCCTTTAAAGGTGAGGAAACAAGTCCAGAGAGAACAGTTCCTGCCCACCGGGAACCTTCTTCCCAGAAAGAGGGAACCTTCTTCCCAGAAAGAGGCCGGCATGTAAACGGCACGAAGGCAGGAAACAGGATGGAATGAGAGATGGGAGAGGGAGGATTTCTTTTTCTTTCTTTCTTTTTTTTAATATATTTTATTGATTTTTTTTGCCCCCCTCCCTCCCTCCCTCCCATACATACCCTCCCTCCCCAGAGTTTTATGTCCATTGGTTGTACTTATATGCATGTACACAAGTCCTTCAGTTGATCTATTATCTCCCCCAGATCTTCCTCCGAGAGGGAGGATTTCTTGGAGGAGGTAGCTTTTGGGACCTGAAGGCAGCTTAGGGAAGGAAGAGGGAGGACAGAAGGAAAGGCCTGGAAGTGAGGATAAACTGGGGTGAGGGAGGGAGGAACGAGGCCAGTGTGGTTGGAAGGGAGGGGCAAGGGGCAGGGTGTTGGGAGCTGAGTCAGTGGTAACACTCACAGGCCAGAGTGATAATCCTCCACGCCAGGTATGAATCTCCCAGCTCACTGCATTCTCCCCAAGGCGCGGCAGAGCAGGGGTTGGCAAACTACAGCCTGCAGGCAAATTCTGACCTGCTGCCTGTTTCTGTAAATAAAGTTTTATTGGAGCACAGCCATGTCTCTGGCTGTTTTAGTGCTACAAGGGCGAAGTCGAGAAGAAACTGTATGCAAAGTAAAAAATATTTGCTATTGGGCTCTTTGTAGAAAAATCTTGCCAACTCCTGCTATACAGACCACTTACAGATGGGAATAGTGTGGCACAGAGAGGCTGCTAGGCAGCGGGAGTTCAGGGTCTCTGCACCGGTACTGCTTGCCAGAGCACATCAGCCCTGGGGATGTGGGAACCTGTGAGGATCTGTACCCCAGGGGAGGATGGGCGTCATGACAAGATTGTGTATAAAGAGGGGATATGATCTGACTTAGGTGCTTAGAGCCCCTTGGCTGGTGGCTGAGAGGAGGCTGGAAGGAGCCGCAGGTGACTGCAGGGAGAACAGGATTCCGGTGGGAGATGCGGGTGCCTGCACTGGGTGGGTCCCCTCTCGGCCTTGTTTCTTCCCATCTGCTGTGGTTGCTTGTGAATCCTCCCTTGCTTCCTCTTTCTCCGGCATCTTGGTTTCCTCTCCTCCTTCCAGGTTTCAGTTCCCTTATCTGTCCCCTCCCCTTCCCAGGTCCCAGGCCCTGAACTACTGCTTCGCCCAGAGGTACCCGGGGGGAGAGCTGTGTGAGTTCCAGTTTCCTTTGCCCGTGGGCAGCACTAGGTCTGAATGAGCGGGTCCTGGGATTCTACCAGCCCAGCCTAGGCTAGCCATGCGGTCACTCCACCCTCAGGGAGCCGTGAGGGGTGGGTAGCATGGGGGCAGGAGGAGGTCACTATGCAAGGAAATGCAGCCATTGTCACTGGGCTCCTATGAAAGGACACAGTGACATGGAGTCACTGCAGCCTCTGAGGATGTGGCACACGTGTGCACATATTCACACATACAGGAGGTGAAGCCGGACAGCGTCCCACAGCCACACAAATGCATGCCCCTCTCAGAGCCACAATGAACACACCAGAACTCCTGCAGGACACATGGCAGCAGGCACAGCCCACATGTGACATCCCGTTACATAGCCCAGCCTGGAGCCTCACTGGGACCCAGCACAAGCAGAGATGTCAATAGGGACCCAGCAAAACACACCCAGCATCCTGTAGGGTCATGGTCACAAGCACCACACACCAGACACAGATTCAGAGAGACTGTCACACACCTCACAGGATAAGGAAATGAAACAGGCCACCAGCAGTTTACACAAACATCCTCTACGGATGGGGTCATAGTCACAAACGGGCACACGACCTGACTCGTCACAGTCCAGACACACACCATACATGGAGGTCTGACACACCACCATCTCACAGACTGCCCGGTGGTCATGCCCCCACTCAGTTTGACATTTCACGGCCCCACACACTCAGGCCTGGGGAGTCCCACATGGCCCAGCAGACGGCAGTTGACCCGTCATAGCCAGACACACTGTCACAGCCCGGCCTGGTCCCAGACGGAGCAGTCCCACAAACCCAGACACCTTCCCAGGGTTGTGGCCCTCACAAGCCCAGCTCGTGCCTGGGCCTCAGGACAAGTCCTGGCTGCACCCTGGGAATTCACTCACCCCCAGCGCTGAGCCCTGGCCACGCCCTCCGGACACACCCCACCCACCTGCCTGCTGCCAGAAAAACTCTGGGCTCAGCACCTTCTCACCACGTGAGCGCTGCTCCGGCCCCGCCCTCCTCACTGGGGTGGCCAGGCCCCGTAGGGATAAGGCAGCTCAGGCTTCCAGCCAACCGCATGGGCAGGACCCGGGGTTCAGGGTGTCCTCCCCTCCCCCAAAGCCTAGGCTCAGGGAGGGAAGTTGAAGGGGGGTAGCCTGGGTTCCGGCTGGAGCCCCAGCTTCCTATCCAGCCCCCAGAGGGCAGGAAGCTGGGCAAGGGGAGGCCAGCTCAGGCTTTCCTGCCCCCTCCCCCAGACAGGCTTGGGACTGGGGTGAATGGGTAAGAGAGAGAGAGACAAACAGCCCATTGCCCTCTACATCTCTGGACATTCCAAGCATCGGTCTCTTGTGTTTCCATTGTGAATTTGAAGGTGTTCAGGACCTTTGTGTGTGTGTCCCAAGTTTTGTGGTGTGAGTTTTATGTGCTTAGCATGGGGGTCTCCCACATACCAGCTGGGTGCCCACAGGCTGTGTGGGGATTGTCAGTGTGTTCCCAGCACACGTTATGTTCAGTGCTGGGTTCGGCCATGTTCCTGGTGTGTGTGGTTGCTGTACAGGTCGGTGTGCTCTCTGGGCTCTGTGTCCTGACACGTGTGGTTGGGGAGGTCTGTGTTACAACAGGGTCATATGCCTGGAGCGTGTTTTGTGTCTGAAATTTCTTGCTTATCATCTTTGCCACTTTCCTCCGGGTGTGGAAATACAATATTCAGTGTAATTTTGACTTGAAATGTGGATATTTTGTGTATGTTTATGGGCCTGGGAGAAAGATGTGTTTCCAGAGGTGGTATGTCTTGTTTCTTACACGAGCCGTGTTTTCCGTGTGTGTGTGTGTGTGTGTGTGTGTGTGTGCGCGCGCGCGCGCCCATTGTGGGGAGTGGGGTTTTCAGCCCCTGTGGGTGTCTGAGCAGGTGGCGTCCGTGTTGTGAGCAGTTGTGTGGGCTTCTATTTTGCTCGCCTTTAAGGGCATTTTGAGCTCTCAGTGTGTGTGTGTGTGTGTGTGTGTGTGTGCTCATGAGCATTCTGTGCTAACGTTTCCAGGGGAGGGGGGATTGTGCGTCCTCAGTGAAGTTGCTGGCATCCTGGGCAACAAGCCCAGTGGCCTCCGGGCTGAGTGGAGGCTGCATCTGCGGTATGTCCCCTTGCTGGCTGGTGCCACGTTGGCTCGGGGCTGGCTGTGGCGGGCAGGGCAGGGCAGGGGCTGCGGTGGGCACTGGACCCGCGCCCAGCCCTTGGTATAAATATCCCAGGCTGCCGGCGGCAGTGTTTACTCTGTCCCAGCCCGGGGGTGGTGGCAGCCCAGCAGGTCCTGGGGGCCAGTGGAGGGGGGTGGTGACCAGGCCACAGCACAGACACTTCCTTCTGGCCAGACAGGCTGTAACCTCACTGCCCTTCCCACCCCCTTTCTGGGTGGAGGTGACCCCTCATTCTGGGCTCCCAAGAGCCACCAGTAAACTCTAACCTGGATGTCTGCTCTGGGTTTCCAGGGTTTGGGAGCCAGAGAAGAGGACAGAGATTGAGATGATGCGATGGGGGCTGGCCAAGAGACAGGGAGAGGGATAGGAAAACATGAGGGCAAACAGAAGCAGGAGTGACACAGGGAGGGGACGCCCCAACAGAAAGCAGGGGAAACGGGGACATGAGACAGTGAGGGACACTCAGGGAGTGAGGAGGGAGGGAAAAGAGGCCGAGGCCCAGGCCAAAGGAGGAAGAAAGGGTAGACATGACAGCCAGAGAGGGGCAGAGGCAGAACGAAGGGGTGATGGAGAGGAGGGTGGGGGTTAGAGGGAGCGAAGCAGAACAAAGGACAGAGCAGGCAGGCAGGCCTTGGAGGCTCGTGGAGTCCTTGTCAGCTTTGGCAGGACGCAGAGGTGTCAGACGTGGGGGTGGCAGCCAGGACAGACAGGAGACTGGGGGTGGGGGCCGGATGTGCACGGACTCTCCCCCAGCAGGGCCCTCCCTCCCTGACTCAGGCTCTCCACCCACCCCAATCCCAGACCTGGGAGCGAGGGACAGGCCACTGGGGCACCTCCAGGTCTCAGCGCGGAGGCCGTGACCTTTGGGAAGTGTCTCTCCATCCCTCTTGACTAGCTCCACCTCCACCGCAGCTACAGATGCTGGTCACCCCATCTGACTCACCCCAATTCTTACTAACAGTGTTCACCTAAACACAAAATAAAGCAAGTTTATGTACGGCACAGTAACCACACATTTAATGACCGAAGGTGACAAATGTGCAGAGGGCCGATGCCTGGAATAGGAGTTGAGGGCATAAGCCCAGGTTCCAGGACACACGTCTCTCCCGTGAGTCAGCCTGCCGGGACGATGCTGGCCTCCTCCGGGAGGTGGATTATCTATACTGATAGCACCAGACGCACAGCACCCTGTGATGGTTGTGATGCAAACACTGGCTTCTCCGTCGAGATGATTCAGTCAGGTCTGTGTGCAGGACGGTGCCTGGTGCCGAGAGGCCCCCGAAGCTTAGCTGCTATCATCATCAAGAGCTAACTCTCTCGCCTTCCCGTCGGAGGACGTCTGTCTGTCCACTCTGCGTGCCCGATAGCTGACAGCAGGCCAGGAGAGCTCTCTGGGACGTGTGGTTCTTTCTAGACCGGCCTTTTCATCTCTGAAGGCTGCCCTCCTTCCTGGGCCTCCCCTGCCCGGTCTGAGTTGAGTCCCTAGTTCGCAGCGATGTCGGGAGGATTCCGTGCAATGTCGGGCACCTGGCTCGGGCCTGGCACGGGCTAGAACTGCTCAGAAATCAGAACTTTCCTTTTTTAAAGTCTCACTGAACAGCCTGAGAGTCCCTCCGGGCCCATCCAGCTCTCACTTTCTGTGTCTGGCTCTAATTCTGGCTGACCCAGAGGGCAGAGCTGTGGCCTGGGGGTCCAGCCATGGCCCCTGGAGGCCTCAAGGCCTCTGCTCACTAGGGACTACATGCCCCAAGGGGCAGCTTGAGGGGTCCTTTCGGCTTGGCTGTGGAAGGATGCCACTACTCCTGTGCATAGGGCTGAGGCCCCAAGCCCCACCTCCCTGACCCTTGGCCATGCTCTCCTCCAGCAGACGGCCCGTTTCCATGTGTCTACTGGGGGAGCATGAGCTGGGTGTGGGGGCCTGGGAAGGCGGGATGCCTGGGTTCCCACAGGCCGGTGGCTGAGTCACCAGGCGGCCATCTGGCTCCCATTAGCCGGGGAGGCAGGGGGCTCTGTGGGGCGGGCCTGTGGCTGGCTGGGGGCAGAGACGAGGGGCAGCCTGTGTGTGTGGGATGACTCAGGACCCATGATAACAGCCTGTGCGTATTTGGGGAGTGTAAACAAGTGGGAGAGAGAGGCAGAGGAAGTGAAGAAAGGGAAAATTGTGGCTGGGCAGAGGGGGGCTGTGGGCTGGGAGGAGAGAGTACCCCTCCCCCCACTCCTGAGCTGGCAGGCCCACGATACCCAGTGCTTCCCCTGCCCATCCCTCCCAGCCTGGGTCCCAGTGGAGAGGTGATGGCTGTGGCCACCTCTCTGGTCTCCACCTGTCTGCATTGTCTACTAGGGATGACACCGAAACCCAGAAAGGCTGGAAGATGGAAACGGACTGGCAGGAAGAACCACAGGCCCACAAGGCCAAAGGAGAGAAGGGGACTTCCAGAGGCAAGGAGAGCCTGACAAACGGGACAGTGAATAACAGGGTAGGGACCAGGAGGGGAGACAGCTAGCTGCTCTGGGGCCCAGGGATCAGCCTGACCCCAAGTTGGGCACTGGTGTTGACTTGGATGGTTCTAGCTATAAAGGGCCCTGCTGGACTTGGTCAGGGAAGGACATTCACCCTGTTGTGGGGACAGAGGCCAAGGCACAGAATGAGGAGGAGAAACAAAGGCAGAGGAAAGAGATCGAGGTGGAGAGGGAAACACAGAAAGCAGAAGACAGAAAGGCAGGGAGAAAAACAGACCAAAGACAGAAAACCCCAGAGGGACAGCCATGAAGACAGAAGCAGGGTTGGGTTGGGGGGAAGGTTGGGAACCGCAGACACAGCGGGAGGGGCAGTCTGAGATGGGACCAGACCCTATGAGGCAGCTTCGCTGGAGCCCCTGGAGTCTCTGAGCCAGCCTCTGACCAGCCGCCTTGTTTTGGGGGGCAGGGTGGCGGGTGGCTGGGCCGTCAGTCCCCGTCTAGCTCCGGGCTGGGTGCATCCTCAGGCTCCTCCTCATCAAAGTACCTCTCCTCCTCATCCCGGGCCACAATGTCCAGGTTGTCGAAGTCGGGGTTATCATCCACGGCGCTGCAGAGGGAAGGGGGTGTCAGAGGCTGGCTCTGCCTGGCCCAGACCCCTCCCTTTGGGGAAGCTGGGGAAATGGCTCGGCCCCGTGAGGTCAAAGGCCATATGCTGGCAGCTCTAAGATCCAGCCAACGCCCCTGAGGGGGATGCTGGATCTCTCAGGGCTTCAAACAAAGGCAATATTTTACATAAAACTTCTGACTTCTCTTGGAAAGTTGGAAGATTGTGACACCGGGGCCCACATTCCCAAGGCAGTGGTTCTCCACCTGGAAGGCTGTGTCCCCACAGATGACATCTGGTGATAACCGGAAACCTTTGGTTGTCACAACTAGGGAGCTGCTACTGCCGAGTGGGTGGAGCCAGGTGCTACTCACGTCTGGTGCACTAGGATAGGCCCCCTCACAGAGTCATGTTGTCCCAATATCATTAGTTCTGAGGCCCAGAAACTGCATTAAAGTGACAAGGGATCCTAACATGTGAGGAGCCGGACAGCACTGCAAATCCTCCCGCACCTCTCATCACGCTCACTTTGTGCAGAAAGCCCTGTCCATTCTGCCCTCCACTCCGACGGGACCTCCTACTGCTGCTCCCTCCTGCCCCTTGGGCAGCCTTGCTGTTCTTCCTTCTTCCGTGCAGCCTTAGGGCTCTTCCCCAATATCTGTCACCCCTCACTTCCTGCAGGTGTCTCCGCAGAGCCTTCCCTGGCCACCTTGTCTCCCCTCATTCCCTTTCCTCCCTGGCCCATCACCACTGAACACTTGATGCTTGTTTTCCTCACCACAGGGGGACCTCCTTCAGGGCTGGGAGTCCTCTCATCGGTTTTGTTTCCTGCTTTATCCTAAGCCTGGAACTCAGCATGAGGTGGCTGAACACCAGAGGGACCAGGTGGCCCTGCTGCCCAGCAGTGCCCCCCTGGAGAGGGCACAGGCTTTGCCTCCATCATTCCTCATTTCTCACACCAGGCCTGGATTCCTTGTGGGTTTTATGGCGGCAATGGTGCTCTCATTGAGGGCTCCCATGGTCTAGGCGCTCACCCACTTTTTCTGTGGACATTCAGGCTGCAAGGCTGGCCCAGGCTGGAAGTGACCACCTGGATCTGACTCCAGAGCCAGGGAGTCCAGATTGGGCCAGTGGCTGTTCTGATCCCCATTCAGCTGACGTGCCCCCAAGGTCTGCTTGTTCACATCGCATCAGAGTGTGTTTGAAACAGAGCCCTCTGCTGCCACAAGGCGAGACTGCTTCAGTGGACAAACCACTTATCTTTGGTTTTGATAGTTCACTCTCTTGTGTCCTCCCTGATAGCAAAATCCTTTTCAAAGCAGGTGGCCCACGCACGTTGGCCCTGAGGTTATACTGGAGGAGCCACCACAGGTCCCTCCCCGGCAGACATTAACGTTGCCAGGGATTACTTCCGGCAGCATGAAAAGGTGAGGGGGACATTTGGGAGGCCTGGGGTAGTGGCATCCTGCCTGGCCACCCCACTTGCCAAGTGAAAATGTTTCAATACCTTATCAATATTGAGCTGAATGTCAGCCCTGCTCATTCCCTCCTTACATTTGGGGAGAGGACTGAGGCTCTCGGATGGACAAGGCCAGTCCAAGATCACCCACTGATCTTTGCTGATCTGAAACCCTGCGGCTGCCTGACCCCAGGGCCATGGCCTGGAACTGTTCTGGGACCTTCTAGCATTACGAAGGGAGGCCTCCATGGAGAGGCCTGGGACCTGGCAGCGGCTGAGAGCTACAGGCTGCTGGGCTGGGGGCGGGGAGGTAGACGCATGAAGCACCTGTAGTCAAAGTCCCCGTCCTTGCCATCCAGGAAGCGCTGGTGCATCCGGCTGGTGAACTCTTCCCGCAGGATCAGCCTCTCCTCTGAGTCGGGGACCCAGGCCTCCGAGTCTCTGTCAGAGCTCTGGTCTGTGGGGGAGACACCCAGTGTGGGAGAATGAGGGGTGCACTCAGGGAGGTGCTGAACACAGTTCAGAGGGCTGCATCCTTAGTGCTGGGTGGCCCCGGGAACATAACAGTGACCAGAAAGCCCGCAGTCCCTGCCCTCCTGGAACACACACCGAGCATGTGACAACCAGTGCTCCGGGGGCTGCAGGATAGGGTCAGGACCCGACACCTGAGGGTGGTGAAGGGAGGCACTCCCGGCAGAGGGAACGACTGCTTTTGAGGAGTGGGGGCAGAGATGCTGGAGAGGTTGGGAAGGGCTAGGGCACACATGGCTCTTGGGTCAGGCAGGACAGGGACTCGATGTTCACACCTGCAGGTGGGCCCAGCCTGGAGCCATGGACTGAGGAGACACGCAGGCCCAGGACTGCCGAGTCCAATACTGGGGCTCTCCTGCTGCTGGTCCTCACCTTCCTTGTCACTGTCCCCTTCTTCCTCTTCCTCCTCCTCCAGGCAGGCCTCCTCCTCCTCCTGCTGCTGGAGCAGCCGTTGCTGCAGTTCCTGTTCCTGGTAGGATTGCAGCAGCAGGTCGGAGAGTGAGCAAGTGGGTGTGCCGGGGGAACCAGGCTTGGGTGGCTGGTGGGCTGGGGTGCGGGCACTGAGCTCCTCCTGGGTTAAGTACTGCCCTATGTACTGCTCATACAGCAGTGGAGCCCGGAACCGCATCTGCTCGTCACTGAAGTACTCGCCCCCTGCACAGAGGAGACAAGAGTGGGGTCAGGAGCCTAGGGGCAGGGCCAGGAGCTGCGTGCAGGGGGAGGGTATCTGAGCAGACGTGTGTCCATGCGTGTGTGTGTGTGTGTGTGTGTGTGTGTGTTGATGCTGGTAGGAAGACATGAGCACACAGGTGTGAGTGCACACATTCCAATACGTAGATGCCTGAGGTCCTGCGGCCACCAGTATTCACGCATGCATCTGAGCACATTTGTGTGACCAGGCGTCTACTAGTATCTGCATGCTTACTCATGTGTCCAAGCATGTCTGCACAGTAAGGCCCATGAATAGCCTGCCCCTGGGCACTGGTGGCCGGGGCCTGTGGACATATGCCAGGGCAGGACTCACAGTCTCCTGCCCCCGTGGGTGTCCACACACTGCCACAGGTACCTGTGTGCCTGCAGGCAGGCAGCAGGATGTTGCAAGCGGATGTAGCTGCAGCCTATAAGCTGTGCGTGCCTGTCCATTGAGCCCCATTCTGGCTGTTGGTGCACACATCTGGACACCTAAGTGTGTCTGGCATGTGTGAGCACAGGTAGAACATGGTCTCTGCCCAGGTGTGGTTTTCCTGGTGGTCTTCCAGACCCCAGACCCCAGCTCTCCCTAGTGCTCCTCTCTGCAGCCACCCCCCAGGTGGGCCCGGCATCCCTCACCCTAAACCTGGCTCCTCTGCATCTCTCCTGAGTGCCTGTTCGTGCAGGGGCAGTTCTGTCCTTCAGCTGACAGTTAAACCGAGCCTGGTCCCTCATGCCCTACTTTCAGAGCCCGGGGTGGGAATCTGCCGGAATCCTGGCTTCTGGAGCACCTCCCATCTTGTCCTCTCTTACCCCCAGCTTTTGTGTTTCCCACCATATTCTTTCTTTCCCTCTTTTCCTGGCTCTGTCACCCTCTCCTTCTCTGACCTGTTTCTGTCATCCTTCCTCCCCACCCCCCCTCTCCTGTTTTCATCTTGCTCATCTGTTGCTGTCCCCCGCTCTTTCATTTCCTTCAGCTCATGCCTCTTCCCTAACAAGAAACTTCACTCTCTCTCTGCTTCATTTGCTCTCATCTTTTACCTTTAGTTCTGGTGTCTTTGGTCACAAAAACACCCGTCATGTCATGGTAAACAGGTATTGACTGATGTTTTCCTTTACGAGTGTCTTGTTTGGAGGGCCTTTATGTCCCAGGGTCATAAACACACTCCCCGAGATTCCCAGCAATGTCTCTGTGTTCGGAGTGAGGGAGGTTTAATTTTCCTGACAGACAACCAGTTATCACGGTTCTGGGCACTGTGTCCCTGGTTCACAGATCTGAAATGGTACTTCGGTCATTCCCATTCTCTTTCCCTGGGTCCCTATTGTGTAGTCTACCTAATCTCACCCTGTCACTTCACATCTGTCTGTCTCTCCCTGAATCCCTGGCTCAGCACTTATCCCCCAGGATCTGTCTGTGTTTCTGAGTTGCATCCTTCTCATTTGCTCTGCCAGGCTTTCCCTTCCCGTCCAGCCCACCTGCCCCCACACCTTGGATGAGCTCACGCAGGGCAGCATAGCGCCGGTTACGCAGGCGGGTACGCAGGGTGCGGGGCCGGGCGGTGCCCTGCCGGGCTACCTCGGCACAGTAGAAGTCTGCACGGTGATCACCACGTAAGTGGCCGAAGCAGGCCAGGTGCTCCTCGCGGAGGCCTGTACGGAAACGCTCTAGAAACACCAGTGGCTTCTCGTGATACAGCTGGCCCAAGATGGCCACCTTCTCCTGCTCTGTCAGGTCAGGCTCTCCTTGCTGCTGGCTGCATACAGGCAGGTGGCTGGCAGCCACGGCATGCAGCATGGCACTCACTGCTACATTCTCAGCCCCAGAGGCGTCACTGCCCAGGGCCTTTGGTGCTCCCTCTGCTGCTTCCACCTTGTCCAGGGGTCTAGATGGGACTGACATCCAGCTCAGCTCCCCCCAGTGCCCAGAATTGGGCTCTGTGCAGCCTGTGGATAGAGGGGAGATTTCTTAATCCGGGATGGGGGTGAGGGTGAATAGGAGGGACTGGGTGCTCAGTCCCTCACTCCACATTTATTGAGCACCTACTATAATTTGGGCACTGTGTTAGGCCCTAGAGATACCACGATAAACAAGAAATTGACATTTAGTGGGAGACAGATAATAAAAAACATTTACATATAGTGTGTGGTGGTTTGAGAGCTATGCAAAAAAATACAGAGGGATGGAAGAGGGAATAGGGGGCAGGGAGGAGAAAGGTTACAATTTGCTGAAACTGGTTTGGCTCAGTGGATAGAGCATCAGTCTGAGGACTGAAAGGTCCCAGGTTCGATTCCGGTCAAGGGCATGTGCATTGGTTGCGGGCACATCCCCAGTGGGGGGTGTGCGGGAGGCAGGTGGTCGATGTTTCTCTGTCATCGATGTTTCTAGCTCTCTATCCTTCTCCCTTCCTCTCTGTAAAAAAATCAAAAAAAAAAAAAAAAAAAAAAAAAAGGCTGCAATTTTAAGACAGAAAAAGCTTGCCTAAAAAATCACATTTCAGTAGAGACCTGGGATGGTGGGGAACTGAACCATGACATTTCCGGGGGAGAAGAGTTTCAGACGGGGGAACAGCCAGTGAAAGGCCCTGAGGCAGGAGCGCATTTGGGGTAGTTACTTGGTCCTTTACCACTTCGTTCATTGATTCACTCAATTTTTTGCCTTTTCATTTGTTCACAAATGAATTTAACACATTCAAAATTTAATACATTCGCTAACTTGTTCCCTCATTTATTCATTCTCTTCCAAACTATTCATTTTTTATTTTTACATTTATTTTTTATTGATTTTTTACAGATAGGGAGAGAGATAGTTAGAAACATTGATGAGAGTGAAACATCGATCAGCTGCCTCCTGCACATCTCCCACTGGGGATGTGCCCACAACCAAAGTACAAGCCCCTGACCAGAATTGAACCTGAGACCTTCCAGTCCTTCTCAGTGGATGACGCTCCATCCACTGAGCGAAACTGGTCAGGGCTGTTTTTGTTTGTTTAAAAATATATTTTATTGATTTTCCACAGAGAGGAAGGAACAGGGATAGAGAACTAGAAACATCGATGAGAGAGAAACATCGACCAGTTGCCTCCTGCACCCCTCCCCGCCCCCCACCGGGGATGTGCCCGCAACCAATGCACATCTCTAGACCGGAATTGAACCTGGGACCTTTCAGTCCGCAGACCGATGCTCTACCACTGAGCCAAACCAGTTTCGGCAGGGCACAGTTAAAAAAATATATATATTTTTATTGATTTCAGAGAGGAAGAGAGGATAGAGATAGAAACACCAATGATGAGAATCATTAATTGACCCCCACACCGGGGACTGAGCTCAAAACCCAGGCATGTGCCCTGACTGGGAAACGAACTGTGGCCTCCTGGTTCATAAATCCCAGCCAGGCACCGGAAGATTTAAATACACAAAAATATTTTTTAAGGCTGACCGGGGTAGGGGCTATCAAAGAGGGGACAAGAGGAGTGGTGGTGAGAAAGATGTCTGGGCCCGGCTGGCATGGTTCAGTGGCTGAGTGTCTACCTATGAGCCAGGAGGTCAGGGTTCATTCCTGGTCAGGGCACATGCCCAGGTGTGGACTCGATCCCTAGTGTGGGGCGTGCAGGAGGCAGCCGATTAACGACTCTCTCTCACTATTGATGCTTCTCTCTATTCCTCTCCCTTCTTCTCTGAAATTAATTAAAAATATTAAAAAGAAAAATGTATCTGGGAAGCCAAGTACATAAGCCATGGGGCTGAAGGGCTGGAAGGTAAGGGAGGTATCCAATTAAGATCCTGGGCTCTGCCCCCTGAACTAGTCAAACTGTGTCTGAGACAAAGACATGGACAAGCAAGTTTGAGGGAAGATGCTGACTTCAGTTCAGGACATGGAAGGTAAGAGGGAACTAGGGGACACTCAGGGGAAGCATGTAAGAGACCATTAGTACACGGGACTAGAGACTTCTCAGGAGAGAAGTGCTGGGCTGGGGACAGAGTTGCGGGGGTTATAGAGTCAAGACAATTAAAGCTGAAAGAAATTAGAGGTCATGGGGAGGGCAGGGGCAGAGACATAAGTGAGATGAGAAAAGAGGGATTAGGAAAGAGCCCTAACTGGATGGGGAGAAGATATGTCTATGAAAGATTCTAAAAAAATGGTCTCCAGCCGAAACCAGTTTGGCTCAGTGGATAGAGCGTCGACCTGCGGACTCAAGGGTCCCAGGTTCGATTCCGGTCAAGGGCATGTGCCTTGGTTGTGGGCATATCCCCAGTAGGGGGTGTGCAAGAGGCGGTTGATCGATGACTCTCTCATCGATGTTTCTAACTATCTCTCTCCCTTCCTCTCTGTAAAAAATCAATAATATATATATATTTTTAAAAAAAGTCTCCAAAAAGACAACCATGTCTTAGTTCCTGGAACTTGTTAATGTTACCTGGTATAGCCAACGACAATAGCAACAAAAGGGTCTCTGTCGATGTGATTAAGTTGAGCATCTGAGATGGGGAGATTATCCTGCTTTATCCAGGTGGGCTCTAAAAACCATCACACGTGTCCTGTAAGACTTGACATACATGGAGGAGATGGCAATGTGAAGACAGAGGGAAGCAGAGATTGGAGTGATGTGGCCACAACCAAAGAATGCCAGGAACTGCCAAAAGGTGGAAAAGGCAAGGAATGGGTTCTTCTTAGAGGCTGTGAGGTGCCCTCCACTGTCTTGCTGAGGCCTAGATACCAGCCCAGTGATACTGATCTGACTCTGGCCTCCAGAATGGTGAAAATAAACTTCTGTTGTCTAAAGCCATCCCATTTGTGGTAATTTGCGGCAGCAGTCTTGGGAAACAAATAGAGGCTGAGCTCGATAAGAAGGAAATCGGAAAGAAGGGTGTCAGAGAAACCAAGGGAAAACCTTAAAGAAGGACGGAGGGGTCAATAGCACTGTATTCTCCATGTCATCTAATAAGAAAAAAACTGAATGGGGTAACACAGGGAGGTCACTGGAGACCCTAACCAGAGCAGTTCCTGAAGGTAAAAGCCAGATTGCAGTGGGTGGGAGATGGGGAAATGGAAAAAGTATGGATGACTCTTTGGAAAAGGTAGGATGGTTTCTGGAAGGCAGCATGGAATTAAGAGATAGATTTTCTCTTTAGGTTAAAACATTTTTTTTTTTTATTATGGAAAATTTCAAACATGCACAAAAATAGAGAGTACAACCACTCTAACCCCCCAGTAATCCAGCTTCAACAATTATCAATTTCTGGACAGTGATGTTTCAGCCTCCCACCCACACTTCACCCCACATGGGGCTACTTTGAAGCAGGGGGATGGAATTTTGAGATGAGCAAAACAAAAGCATTTTAGACACTTATGGGAAGGCATCAGGAGAAATAGATTTAAAATGCAATGGAGAGAGATCGGGGAGCACAGAAAATGATTAAGCACCCTGAGGTGGCAGATGGGGCTGCGAACTTTGGGGGGAGAATTAGAATGAAATGGAGGAAACCGACAGTCTGAGGTAAGTAGTTTGCATGGGGCAGGAGGAAGGCTAGTCTGGGGAAAGGAAAGCATCAGCTACACAAATGAAGGAGGAAATTTGAGGAACAGGGTTGGCTGAGACACAGGTGAGGTAAGCCAGGGGCAGGGGAGCGGTTAATGTTAGCTGACCTGAGAATTAGCCAGGAGGAACTGGGACACGGAAAAGGCTGGCCTGGAACGAGTTAGAGTTTAATTTCGGGGAAGGGGACCCAGTAAAGGAGGTCAGCCCGCAAAGAGAGGGGTTAATCTGGACAAAGTGGTGAAGGGACAGAGTGGTGAAGGGACAGGTAAGATCGAGGGCAGGTGTCCCTCTATAGAGACCTCCGTCGCGATCTGGGAATCATTTTCCAAAGACACCGCAGCCCCACCCTTCCGCCGCCTCCGCGTCGCCTTGACCTCACCTTCATCAGGTTCCCTTGCCGCTGCCGCCACAGCCTCCATCCAGACTTTCTACGCTTTTTAACCGCCGCGGTAGGCTCAGCACATTTAACTCGGCCCCAATCCCTAAGCGGCCTCTTCCGGTTGAGCACTCCACCTGAGGTCCCGATGCCCCGCTGCACCCAGAATCAAAGTTCCGGGCCGAAGGCGGACCTTCCTATGCGCATGCGTGTCTCGCTTAAGCTCCACTCTCCGAAGCCAGGAAGGAAGCCACCCGGGTCAGAGGCCTAACATTTGGTTCCTCCACCTCCAACCTGAACTTCTACGGACCTGGAATATCTGCAGGAAGATGGACCATTGTTCAACCTGTTCACTGCAGTAATTCCAAACCCGGCATCCTTCACTTTGGGGTGGATGATTGGGTGAATGAGAAACCCTTGAGGGCTTCAAAGGGTTTGTGCTCTAGTTTTAAATGCCAGCCTTTCCTTTTATCTTTTCCACCATTTCAAATATTTACTAAGCCTTGTCTCTGCGCTGTCATCACACCCAGTCCCTGGTTAGCATGAGATGGGTGGTGAGGACTGGGGCAATCTGCGGGCATGGAGAAAAACGTGGCCTTAGAACTTACTAGGTAGTAAGTACACACAAGTCATTAGTGACTGTCCTGAAAGTTCAGGGCTCTAATGTACTGAGGGGGCTAAGGGAGCTGCCATCCATTCTGGAGGACCAGGGAAGGCTTCTTTTGGGAGGATAGGATGTCCCAGTTGAGATTTGAAAGATGATTTGTAAGGTAACCAGACGTCCCGATTTTAAACAATTTGTTCCACAGTGTTTTAAAAAAAAGTCCCGATTTTTTAAAAGAATCTTAAAAAAAATATATATATATTTTATTGATTTTGTACAGAGAGATAGTTAGAAACATCAATGAGAGAGTCATCGATCAGCTGCCTCTTGCACACCCCCTACTGGGGATATGCCCGCAACCAAGGTACATGCCCTTGACCAGAATCGAACCCGGGACCCTTCAGTCCCCAAGCCGATGTTCTATCCATTGAGCCAAACCGGTCTCGGCTAAAAAGAATCTTTCAAAAAATCGGGACATTTTAAAACACCGCGGGACAAATTGTTAGAAATCGTGATTGTGTCTAGTCACCTTAATTTAGGGCTGAAACCAGTTTGGCTCAGTGGATAAAGCGTCGGCCTGCAGACTGAAAGGTCCCAGGTTCGATTCCCGTCAAGGGCATGTACCTTTGTTGCAGGCACATCCCCAGTAGGGGGTGTGCAAGAGGCAGCTGATTGTTTTTCTCTATTCCTCTCCCTTCCTCTGTGAAAAACCAATAAAATATATATATATATATAAAAAAGATTTAAAGCAAGAGGAAGGCTGGTAGGGGTCTCAGGTAGGGGGATGGGCGAAGCCAAATATCTAGAGCACACACATGGATAGTTCTGGTTGCTATAAAGGCTTCATATAGAATGGGAGTAAGTTCTAACTTTAAGGCCTTGATTGGGCGGCAGAGAATTGAAAACCTCATGTATATTTACCCAAGATTTCACATACACATGAATTTGGATCATGGCATTTTTATATTCAAATGACTTGACTCCCCCCAAATCACTGATCCAAAGTGCAAAGAGGGAACAGCAAAAGATGAAGCCAGTGAGGTAATCAGGAGCCAGGTATGAGGCCTCATAAGCCAAATTAAGTAGCTTGAGCTCCTTTATATTTTGTGGGTTTGGGGCAAAGGGTTTCAGGGGGACTGGAGGTAAGGGAGCTCTGTGAGGAGGCAGGTGCAGTTATCTAGACATTGGCCAGGACCAGTTTGCATTCCCAGCACATATCTCACACAGGATAGTAGATGGGTACTACACTTAAATGTATGGAGGCCAGCAGAGGGAGCTATTGCTCAAGGCATAGACCAGAGTTAGTAAGATTTTCCAGGCTAAAGGCACTTACTCTAGCGTCTTTCAGTCCAAGTAGCCACCAACTTCTACCCCTTATGTTTAGATATCCCGCCCTGACCTCAAAACAATTTGCCTTTCTCCTCCTTTTTGTAGTCTGTGTCCTTTCCACACACCGAGATACTTCCTGTGAGGGAAGGGATGCGGCTGAACTGGCTATTCCTGTGCTCGCTCCAGCATTGCCCCTCACAAAGGGCCAGGAACACAGCCTATCCAGAGGGAATGGAGAAATGACTCACATTGCTGGGGATGATGAGCTGTGGGAATGCAATCAGAATTTCCTTTAACTGGCTCACTCTAGGGAAGCCCTCACCATCATCACCACTGTAGGCTCTCATAGCTGACCACTATGTGCTTATCACCATTTGATGACAGGCCATTGTTACTTGTGGACTGGGAGTCCTGGGAGGGCAGGGTCCACCATGATTGCCTTGGTCACGCTGTGCCTCTCAGCGCCATCCAGACCCAGTGAGGAACACAGCAAGTTCCTAACCTAATGGCTGGATAAAGAAGCTCCTGTAATCTCCACGGGACTGGACCCAGACACAGACAGGAACTATCTTACATCCAGCTCACAGACCAGGCCTGAGGTGGATGAGCAGTGATACCCAGTGATGACTCCTCCTATTAGCCTTACACTCCACACCTAGGGATCTGGTTCCATACCTTCCAAACATGTTCTTGGAGACTTGGGACTGAGAATGGACTGGAAAGGGCAGGGACCAGAGAACCACTTCAAAAACGAACTAGTGGGCTTTAAACTAAGGGTCCCAGGTTTAAGGTGGCATCCCCAGCACCAAAAATGGGGCTAGGCATGAATCCTTCAATAAGTGTTTAATGAGTGGTAAATAATGTCCCCTTGAAAAGGCCCTCATCCCAATGAAAGGCCAATTGCACTTCAAGGTTTCAACCCTTCTTCCTTCCTGCTAGGAGGTGCCATGTCATTTATTGAAAGAAAAAACAAAACAAAACAAAACAAAACAGGGAAACACATTTCTTAATAAGTGCAGTCTGTTAAAATCCTGTTAAAACATATGGGTCAAGGGCAAGTAAAAATAATCAGAGGTCACTGTAGGAAAAAGCTTTAGGTCTGCCACCTGGGAGATCTCTGGAGAGGAAGCATATTCTGAAGGGGACACCCCTCCCCCATTTCCTTCTTGCCGGCTTAATCCCACCAGAAACTACCAAGACACCTGGAATAAAAGGTTTCAAGTTCAATAGTCACACTCTCTCCAAATACAAAAAGCAGTTACAATTCAACTCAACACAGAAGCTCATGTGCAAAGTTACGGGAAACTGAGACATTGTATAAAAAGTTAGGTTAAAGATGATTTTGTGGTTTTGTTTTGAAGGTGTGGTTCTTCATTGGTTGCCTGAACTCAGCAAAGAAATGGTTATCCTGATGAAGTATCAACAGCCAACCCACAGTAAAAACAGACAAATTCTAAAAATTAAAAAAAAGCATAATTACCAAAAAAATATCTGTCACTGCTTCCTCCCTCCATATTTTGTTTTTAAACTTTTTTTTTTTTAATTTTTTGATTTTTTTTTTAAATCCTGAAAAGTAGACAGTTAAAACAGCTCCTGAAGAATTTACAACCAACTGCATGAGGGTCTGGGAAGCTGAGGGTCTGGAGCAGGGCTGGGAAGAATGGACAGAAAGGGGTCCTGCGCTCAGTCATTCTAGCATCACTGCATGACCAAGGAGGGGGGGGTATTTAGTCAAGAAGGACGGAAAGAGGGAGAGGAAGAAGGCAGGGAGAGAAAGAGAAAATAAGAGTTCATTGTTGCCTGTTTGAATCCAGAGAAAAAGGCCCAGCCCTGTGGTTGAAGAAGCCCCTCAGAGGGGAGGCAGTGGGCTGGAGGGAGGCAGCCCTGGGATGACCTGTCCCCAGCACCACAGGACCCGGCGGGGGCAGATGAGGGGCCATGGTGGGCGCTGGTGGAGGAAGCCGGTAGGGGCCTCCGGGGTACACTGGCTACTGAGTGCTTGTGCCCCCCTGTGTGTTCCCGGTGTAGCTCCCGTAGTCGTAGTTCCCGTAGTATGGCGGCCACTGGCCCTGGTTCTGATAGTACTGGTTCCACTGCTGAGCATACTAGGGAGAAAACAAAAGTACAGAGTTGGCCCTCATCTAGACCTCCATTTGGTTCCTCCCCTCACCCCACTTTCACCCAGGGGAGAGATGGGTGCAGTGACAACAGCTGACACATGGGTCCCCTGACAGAGAAATCAAGGCACTCAGGGAGGACAAGGGACTGACCTGATGCCACATGGATGGGCAACGAGGGACTGAAGCCCAGGTCGCCTGGCTTGCCAACCTAAGGCCCTTTCTAGATATAGGTTAAGTACCACATTCAAAATACTTAATCACGGGTATGGTGACCTAGCACCACACTGGCCATGCTGCTGAGGCAGGATCTGGAGGCTACTGCTATACCCTTGCCTTGCTGCACTGGGGAGAGGAGCTAGGATATCAGTTGTTGAGCAGCCAGAACAGAGGTGTTCACCTAAATGGACTGGCTACATCAGGTGAATTCCTTACAGGCTGCTCATCTTCATGGGATAAGGACTCTGGGAATACACACTGCAAGGGGACCTGAGAGTCTCTCCATTCCATTGCCCCCAGCCTCCCTAACCCATGCCCTCATTTGATACCTACCTGCTGATACTGGTTATAGCTGGGCTGAGGGTAGGTCTGTGCAGTAGGGGGTGGTGGTGGGGTGTAAGGGGCTGGGGTGTAGCCGCCGTAGCTCCCATAGTTGTAGGCAGGTGGTGGTGGAGGTGGAGGTGGTGGGGCTGTATAGCCCTGGCTGTAACCTCCCTGGTTGTAGGGTGGCTGGTTGTAACTCGGCTAGAAAGTAGGGGGAAAAACCAGGGCTCTGTGAAATAGCCAGTTCAGCTGGGATGAAGGAAAGGCTTTTGTAAGCAGTGGGCCCATAAGGGAACTTCCTAGGTGGAGGTGGAGGCGGAGGGGGAGGTGGGTTAACATCATGGCAGGAAAGGCAGGGTGGGATACAGAGCTGTTATAGACTCTGAGACCTTGGGGAGCAAAGTACAAGGCATCTCTTGAAATCCCAAGTTTTCCTGCCCTGTAAAACAAAACTTACAACAACTCTTTGATTATCTTGTGTATTCAATAAGCTTGCAAACACAAACCAATGGGTATTCAGTAAATTGTGAGTCATTACGGAAAAAGTTACTGAGAAAAAGAGTAGGTTTGGCTCAGTGGATAGAGCATTGGCCCGCAGACTGAAGGGTCCTGGGTTCAATTCTGGTCAAGGACACATATCTTGATTACAGGCTCAATCCTTGGCTCTGGTCAGTGTGTGTGAGGAGGCAACCATTCGATGTATCTTTCTCACATTGATGTTTCTCTCTCTCCCCCTCCTTCTACTCTCTCTTAAAGTAAATAAAAAATATCCTATGGTGAGGATTAACAAAAAAATAATTAAAAAAGCTTATTTATATAAAGAAAAATAATAGTGGTAATTTCTAAAGTGCTTCCCATGTCCAGGCTATCTCATTAACTAACCCAGTCCCTCCCACCAGCTCTGAGAGGTATACTCCATCAGCCTCGTTTTATTGATAAGGAAGTACACACTCGGGGAGGTTAAATCATTGATTGTACCCAAGAGGCAGAGAGCCAGGACTTGACCCCAGAACTGTGGTCCCATGAAGCTATAATGCCACCAACCATCTCCCACAACAAGCCTTGGGATGTGAATTCTATGAACAACTCTAGTACTCTATGAGAAAAATGAGGTCCAAAGAGGTAAGGCAGTCCAAGATCACAAAACCAGGATGTTTTAGGGTGGGGTCTGAATCTTTGCCTGCTCAATTACTGTTCTAGAAAATATTCTTGTTAGACCAGGAGTGGGAACCATTCATCTGTCTCTTGGCAGCTGTTCCCAGGCCTGGCATGTGAAAGGTATTCAGGAAACGGCTGCACAATAAAAGGAGACATCCTCTGGTTGACAGGGGCCTGTGCATTCCAGAGTCGGAGCACTGGCTTTCAGAGAACTGGAACTGAGTCTGGAGCTGCTCTGTTTGAAGGTCTCGGAGCAGAGGCCAAGTCCTTATCAAGCTTAGGGCTTGTTTCCACATCCTGAAAACAATAGCATCAGCCCCTTCCAGCGTGGGCAAGGGGCAACTCTGAGTGCTTTCTTGGGGATTCAGTGAGCCAGTGACACAGCCAAGAGAAATACACTTGCTGGATGGACCTGGAGTTGGCCATCCTTGTCAAAAGCAATGTCTGAGAGAAAGAAGAGTAGGATTGGGGGAAGGAGTGGAGATGGGCTGAAGCAGGTGTTGGAAATTTCCCTGATCCCACCTCCTCTCACCTGTGGAGGGCTGTAGCTGCTGACAGTGGGGGTGCTGGTACTGACGCTCGAGCCAGGGATGTTGCTGTTCTTGCTATAGCTGCCGATCCCTGGTGGATTCCGAGCTGGGCTGTAGCTGGGTGGTGGCGGGGGCTGCTGTGGTGGTGGCTGTGGTGGTGGTGGCTGCTGAGGGGGTGGTTGCTGTTGGGGAGCTCGATTGTAGCTGCCTCGGTTATTGGAGTTGTTGTTATCCCGGCTATTGTTACCCCAGCGGTTCTGGTTGTAGCTACCACCTCCACTGCGGTTGAAACCTGCATTGGAGAAACCAGATGAGAGGCCTGTCCTTCTCAACTTGGGCCCCTCAAGAGCTGGGCTGACTTGGTGACTGCTGCAGCCCAGTGTGGGTCAGCTCAGTCAAGTAAATAGAGTACCCTCTCTGAGATTCCCCAGACCCCTAGGTGCACTCTGCCATGCAGCCCTGATAACACTTGGTTATCACTGTTGGCTGACAGGATTGTCTTGGTTTCAACTGTGTCCTCAGCACCTTGATAGCTGTTGAATAAATCATAAGAGATAATCTGGAAGAGGGGATGCCAAGCACTGGGGACAGTCCTCATTAGTGTTGTCCAAATGGGCCAGTCTCTCCCAAACCCTCATGCAGTTGTTTCCTGAGCATGAGACTCTTCCCTCTTCCAACTCCTACTGGTCTCTAGACCTTAACTTAGGCTCTCAGGAAGCCTTCCCGCTCCCCTACAGATTGTGCCATCTAAAGTCACAGTTCCGCTGGGCTTTCCTATTAAGCTCAGAATCCTTCTGGACTGTCACTACAGGGTAATGCGTCTGTCAGGGTCCGGCTGTGTCCCCAAACTTTGCAGCATAGGACCAAAACATAGTAGGGCATGCCAGCTAAATTATGATCATGCACTTTATTGCAGACAGCAGAACTTAGTGACTAAGAACTTGGAATTTGGGTCACTTGATCCCAACTCTAGATTTAGTTGGGCAAATTCTGGGTAAATTAACCTTTCTAAGCCCACTTTCCCATTCATTTTAAAATATAAAACACAAAGCAGTTCTAACATTTCGCTTACACCAGGTCCTGAGCTGGGACCCAGGACTGACAGTAACTTGGTCTGGCTCATCTTCTCAAGCTGAAGGCCAGATGAGGAAGATGCACAAAAATGACAGCAATGTGACATACAAATGGGCAAGTGCCCTGGGGGAACAGGATAGTGAAAGCATTTCCCTGAGGCCCCCAGACTTCACCTACTGACTGAATAAACAGTTACAAAGCCCAACCCTGACCCAGAAACCAGAAAGAAGTGTGAGAGCTCACCTCCTCGGTAGTTGCCTCCTCCACCACTGCCTCCTCCTCGGTTCTGGAAGCCTCCTCGGTTGCCCCCAGGGGGGCCTCGGTTGTCATAGCGCTGGAAAGTGCCACCACCCCCACGGCCCCGGAAGCCACCACCGCCTCGGTTGTCAAAGCGCTTTTCAGGGGGTGGCCCGGCTTTACGGCCTTCCTCGTTGTATTGTCTCACCAACTTGTCTGCTTCTTCTCGCTGCAGCTCAATGAACAGTACCTCATCCAGGAAGTCCCCAACATCTGGCAACGTGAAGTTGGCTAGAAGGGAGGTCCCCAGAGGGAACAAATAGGTCAGTACTTTTTGAGGTGTGGTCCCCTCCACACCATGACACTGGAGTAGTAAGCAAGAGACCAGACAGGATCCTAACCTTAGATTCTGACAATGGCCAGTGGCTAATGGAGACCTCTTCTCATATCCTAAATAGGTAGCTAAGACCCAACAAACCAGTGTTGATAAATGCTCCCTGCAGGAGCAGGCGAGGCAGGTAGAATCAGGGAGGCAGATTGAGGCTTGCTCACAGTCAGCTCACTCAATGAGGGCCATAGGCAGGTGAGCATGCAGGTTGCTAGCATTTGTTCCCACACATTATCTCCATCACACCCCATTCCCACTTGTCTGAAAACCTTGCAAAAGAGATACGGGCAGCTTTTCCATTCACAGCTGTACTAGACAGGGAAGAAACAAAGCAGAAGCAAAGAAAGAACAAGATTAAAAAAAAAAAAAAAGGAGCTAGAGGAGATGTTTCTGATTGAGATGATCCTTTGGGAATCATTCATTTCCTACCTTTCATTTCCAAGACAGCATGATCTGGGACATCCTTCCCTTCTTCGTCGGTTCGTTTTATTGTTCGGTCTTTTAAGTCCTCATCAGTGGGACAAATGACAATAGCTTTGCGCTGGAAGCCTTCAAATGGTCTCATTTTTCGTCTCTGAGCTGACCCATAAACATTTGTCTAGGGTAGGTGACAGAAGAGGCAAGAGATGGCATATTACAAAATGGTTTTCTCATCTGTGGGGCACTATGTCAGCCAAGGACTGAGAAAAGGGCACTAGTTCTTATAAGCAGAGAAACACAAGAAACTGCTCTTCTTCACTTTTAAGATTTTTGAATTCACCCTCAGAAAATGAACTGACTCGGAAAAGCAATTGCTGACACTCACAGGACAAGGGATTTCAATGGTTGGGCTTCGCACTTTAATCCTCTTTGTTCTCGTTCTTTGCTTTACAACTGCCCCCCTCCCCACAAGTAATATAGGCCTCGTTTTATTTAGCTTCACAGATGTTGTGTGTTTTACAAATTGAAGGCAAGACTCTCCCACCAGATCATGACTCTATTGCAGTGGTGGTCTAGAACAGAACACACAATATCTCAGAGAAATGCCCGTACATGTTCATCATAAAAAATTCAGAGTAGCCGAGACCAGTTTGGCTCAATGGATAGTAGGGGTGTCGAACTCAATCAGAGAAGGGGCCAAAATCTAAAATCCAGCCTAAATCGCGGGCCGAATGGTTTACTGAACAGTCATAAACTGTCATTGTGATGGAAACGCAGCGGAGTGCAGTGATGACAGCGAGGTGCGGGCCACATTGCAAGGCCTGGTGGGACGGATTTGGCCCGCGGGCCTTGTGTTTGACACATGTAGGATAGAGCATCGGCTTGGGGACTGAAGGGACCCAGGTTCGATTCCGGTCAAGGGCATGTACCTTGGTTGCGGGCATATCCCCAGTAGGGGGTGTGCAAGAGGCAGCTGATCGATGACTCTCTCTCATCGATGTTTCTGACTCTCTATCTCTCTCCCTTCCTCTCTGTACAAAATCAATAAAATATATTTTAAAAAAAAATTCAGAGTACAAGTTGTAAAGTTTAGAGTAAGAATCCCTTCATCCACTACTTCCAATCTTATTTCCTAGAGATGATTAAATTTGTCTTTTTAAAAAAAATTTATAGCTCTAACCAGTTTGGCTCAGTGGATAGAGCATCAGCCTACGGACTCAAGGGTCCCAGTTTCGATTCTGGTCAAGGGCATGTACCTTGGTTGTGGGCACATGCCCAGTAGGGAGTGTGCAAGAGGCAACTGATTGTGATGTTTCTCTCTCAGCAATGCTTCTAGCTCTCTATCCCTCTCCCTTCTGCTCTGTAAAAATCAATATGTATATTATTAATTATATAAATTATTAATTTCAGAGAAGGGAGAGGGAGAGAGAGATAGAAATATCAATGAGATAATAATTGATCGGTTGTCTCCTGCATGTCTGTCCCCATTGGGGATCGAGCCCCCAACCTAGGCATGTGCCCTTAACTGGAATCAAACCGAGTACCCTTCAGTCCGAAGGCCGTCACTCTATCAGCTGAGCTAAAACAGCTAGGCAAATTTATGTCTTTCTAAAAACATATGTGTGGCCCAGCCAGTTGTAGCTCAGTGGTTGGGCGTCAACCTATGAACCAGGTCTATTCCTGGTCAGGGCATATGCCCAGGTGGCAGGATCAATCCCCAGTGTGGGGCATACAAGAGGCAGTGGATCTATCTCTGTGTCCCTCTCCCTTCCTCTCTGAAATTAAAAAAATATATATTTAAAACAAATTAAAAAATATACTTAATAAAAACATCTGTGTGATTTTTTTAACATGAATGAAATCATACTATACATTCTTCTGAAGCTTTTTTTCACTTAACGTTTCTGTAATGTTTTTCTGTCCCAGTGTTTTCATTTAATGACTGCATAACATATATAGAATGAATATCATAATGAACCACCTCTTCTGACAGTTGCGTAAATTGTTTTCATCAGCACTGATTCTTTCATTCCCTCAGTCCTTCTCTGAAAAATCAGCCTCACCCAGGAGAATCCAAGTTGGCTGCACAGGTAAACACCCAGCTGCAGCCGCACACAACAATTTCAATAAAATACAACTAAAATATAAAATGGACATTACCCAGAATTACAGGAAAGTCGACTGACTGGAAATTCTACAATGAGAAGCAAGGAGAAAACCAGAAGGAAGCGCCCAAGGTACGGAAACAGGCGAGGAGCGCAGAGAGGACAGAGCCGGAGAGGAGGGAGGCTGAGTGCCTGGCTGGCGTTCCCTAGCAGGAAGGAGATAAAAGTTCTGACTATGCTGGGCCCCAGTTCCGACTGCTCTGAACCCCAGTTCTAGGCCAGACCCCGGGGACCCAGGCTCACACAGAGGGAGCTGGGCTGTAAGGCAGAACCCCGGGGGAGCGGAGAAAGGAGGTCCCGGAGGCGCGCACATGCGTGCAGAGAAGGGCTGTGCTTGTGGGATTGCCCTGGTGGGAAGGAGACAGGGGCTCCAGACTGCTCTGAACGCCACCTCTAACTCCACTTCCAGCTGAACTGAACCCCAGTTCCGGGCTCATTGGGGGAGAGCCTAGACTGTTTGGTAGCAGGTGAAAATCCAGGGCACCTTTCTCTCGGAGGTGCTTGCAGCGAGTACTGAAGGACCCTGAGGAATACTGAGACTCAGGAGTCTCATAGGCATAGGGCAGTGCTGACAGAAGCCAAGGCTGTAGGCTCCACCCTGAAACTCCACCCCATCAGGGAAGCTGCGAAAATGGGACAACGAAATAGATCACAAACAAAAGAAATGGAGGACAAAAAGCAACTGAATATAGAGTTCAAATCTACGATTATAAGGTTTTTCAAGAATTTCCTAGAAAAGATCAATAAGACCTATGAGGATATGAAAAGAGATCAACTAGAATTAATAAGGAATCAATGAGAAATGATAAGGGATCAACAAGAAATAAAGAATACATTGTCTGAAATAAAAAATATTACACAGAGTCCTAAAAACAGAATGGAAGATCGCAAGAATCAAGTCAAAGATTTGGAACATAAAGAGCCAGAAGACACTCCTCTGCAGAAGCTAGAAGGCAAGAGAATCCAGAAAATTGAAGATAATGTAAGAAACCTCTGGGACAACTTCAAGCGAACCAACATCAGAATTAATGGGGGTCCCAGAAGATGAGAGAGAGCAAGATATCAAAAACATACTGAAAGAAATAGTGACAGAAAACTTCCCCAACCTGGTTAAAGAATTAGACTTACAAGTCCAGGAAGCGCACAGAACTCCAAATAAAAGAAATCCAAAGAGGACCACACCAAGACAAATCATAATTAAAATTCCAAGAGGAAAAGACAAAGAGAATATTAAAAGCAGCAAGAGCAAAGCAGGTAGTTACCTATAAAGGAGCACCTATATGATTGTCAGCTGATTTCTCAACAGAAACCATGCAGGCCAGACGTGAATGGCAAGAAATATTCAAGGTGATGAATAGTAAGAACCTACAGCCAAAGATAATCTACCCAGCAAAGCTATCACTCAGAATCGAAGGCCAGATAAAGAGCTTCACTAATAAAAAAAAAAAGCTAAAGGAGTTCATCACCACCAAAACAGAATTATATGAATTGCTGAAGGGGGTTCTTTCGGAAAAGAAAGTAAATAAAGATAAAAATTATGAACAACAAATACGTAACTATCAACAAGTGAATCTAAAAACTAAGGAAATTAAAAAAAAAATCTGATGAACAATATTAACTGGTGAATATAATAGAATCAGAGGTATGGAAGGGGAGTGAACTGAAGATTCTTAGGGAAAAGGGGAGAGGGGGATGTGGGAAGAGACTGAACATAAACTGTGCACCTATGGATGAGGACAGTGGGGGGTGGGGAAAGGGCAGAGGGTGGGATGGGAACCTGGTGGAGGAGAGCAATGGAGGGGGGTGGGGGTGGGGGGAAAGGAACATTTGTAGTAATACGAACAATAAAAATTTATTTAAAAAAAAAATCAGCCTCATCCAAAAGTTTCTAACTAGGAAGCATGACAAGGTGCAGATTTGCTACTAAAGTTCTCTTCCCTGCCTCTAGGTCATGGATGGGAACCTTTTTTCTCTGCCAAGGGCCATTTGGATATTTAGAACATCATTCTCGGGCCATATGAAATTATCAACTTAAAAACTGGCCTGCTATATTTGGTCAAACATTTAATTAACTCACCCCCAATGCTGTGGCAGGGCCAGAACAAATGATCTTGTGGGCCTTAAATGGCCCACAGGCTGGAAATTCCCCACCCTTGCTCTAGGTGAGGAGCAGGTGTGTTCTAGGCTGGTGCTGGCACAGACCAGTGCCCTAGGACACATCTGAGCAGTAGTAACAACAGCTTCCCTTTACTGATTATTTCCGATGTGCTAGGCCCTGTGGGACTGGGGAACAGATCTGTCGGACCCCAGGGCTCCAGACTCAGCCTGTGCACCTGTGTCACCTGGACACCATTGAAAGAGAGAGCAGCCCAACCCCTCAAGACTTCCTGAACCCCAATCCCTGGAGGTGGGACCCAGGCTACTATTGGAGAACTGCCCTATCCAAATTCACTGAAAAGAACTGGAATGATGAGGAATACATTCATTTAAACAATTTTTGGTGGCTTGATGGCACTGGGAGAAGTTGCAGAGAAGTTTTAAAAGGGCATGAACAAACGGACACAAAGTGTGCATTTTTAAGACTCAGCCTGGCATAGTGAAAAAAGCCCAGGAAAAATCACTGGTGTGACCATAAACTCACTCTGGGCAGTCCCTACAGTTGATTCACCTGTAAAATAGGAACAAAAAGCTTCCCTAAGCCTCCCCGCTGGGCTGGTGAGGACTGAGCAGGAAGACCACAAAGCACTGACTTGGCATGAGGACTCCTTGAGTGGGGGCTATGAGGAGGCCTCCAGAGTGGGAAACACCTTGATCAAAGGAGGCCTCTCAGAGGGACAGCCTGGAACACCCCAGCTGTTACCTGACTTGGCCACATAACACCTGTGTGGCCCTGGGTGAGTGACTTCCACTTAAAAGCTTCACTCTCCTCGTCTGTAAAGTCAACTTATTGTGTATTTACTGAGTCTTAAGTCGTAGATGGGGAAAACAGTAGGAATGTCTATTATTTGCTCGC